GGACTGACTGAAATGACTGACTGATGCACACGACCTGTGCTCCCCACTGTTCCACCTGTCTGCGTTTTATCCGTCCGGCGCTCCGCTCGCTGTTGTGAGCGTCACTCCTCCGCCCTCCACTATTGCTGGCGGGCGGCTGCCTCCAACTGTTTAGCGGCGTCCTTGACGAGCCTCCTCCTCCAGAGGCCGATCTTAACACCAAGTCCACTCAGCTCCACATCCACGTGCACCGCAACAGCTCCGTCTCTTCTCTAGGCCGTTCCGCGCCCGGTTAGCCCCCCTCGCTCCGGCCAAGTTGCCGGTGGCTGGGGATGCGGGGCCACACGGCCCAGACAACATCGCCTGCCGGAGTCAGCTCACTGCTGGGACTGTCTCCCCACACAAAGACCCCCCGCGCACAGCCTGTTGGGGCAAGTGCTGTGAGTGAGTAGCACCTGTGGAGGACGGAACGGCACACGAGCGGGTACGTGGCCAGCACCACGCTCGGGCCGCCCTGTCTCCCTGGTTGGCGATGTTTACTGCACACACCGCGCCAGGCACTCATTTGAGGCCGAGTCGAGCAAGGGGAAGAGGCCCAGGACCGATTCAGAGAGTCGTCACCGGTGTTGGTGGCCGTCAATCGAACTCGGGCCGCAGGGTTCTTAGCGCAGCACGCTAACCGCTACACTACCGCTTGTCCCCCCAACGCAGAGAGAGAGACAAACACACAGAGACAAACACAAAGAGAGAGACAAAGACGGCCGCGTACCGTCCGTGGCGGCCACGCTACCCATTCCGCCCGTTCCTCGCATCTCCCGGCGTGCACCGCGTTCTGTGCGCCGCCTCTCATTGGCCGCGAGGCCGCGCACGCGCTGCCAATGGACGGTGCGGACTTTGGACGTGGCGGGGCGGTGGGCACTTGGGGGGGGGGGCTTATGAGTGTGTGGGGGGACTTTGCGGGGGGGAGGGGCTTGGGGGGGTGAGGGGGGACTTGAGGGGGATTTAGGTGGGGGGCATCAAGTTCGCCGGGTCCTTCAGTTTGTCCTCCATGTATATTTGTATTAATAATACGCCAAGAGTATGTCTCGCGCGTGACGTCACTCCACATGAGGCTCCCACCATTAATAATCATGAGGGGTGACGTCACTCCACATTCCGCACCCCTCCCCAATAACCATGAGGAGTGACGTCACTCCACATTCCGCACCCCTCCCCAATAATCATGAGCGATGACGTCACTCCACATGTCGCACCCCTCCACAATAACCATTAGCGGGTGACGTCACTCCACAGGCCCCCCCCTCCCTCATTAATAATCATGAGCTGAACAATTTTTCTATTGAATATTTCAGATTGACTGCAATATACACCCGTCCTTGGACGGGCAAACAAGCTAGTTTAAAAACACGCGTTCAGAGTACAGTACTGTATTTGGCTGCTATAAATGTCCACGTGATGATCCACTTCGTTGAGCTATCATTTATGGTCAGATCGCTTCTGAAAAAGAGCTTTGTAGCTCAGCGGGTTTTAGGGGCCGTCCATAGATGACGTCACGCACCTGGGGGGGGTCAGACATTTGTGACGATGTGTGACGAGGGGGGGGGGGGTTGAGAAATGTGACGTCACATCAAAATTGGCAACTTTAAATAAAATAATAAATTGATAAAATAACACAATAATATTCTCACGACAGAGGACAGTCTCGTCCCTTCACCTGATGAAGGCCGCTTGTGTTGTGGCCGAAACGTCGTGAGAATATTATTGTGTTATTTTATTTTATCAATTTATTATTTTATTCTCATTCTACGTGACTTTACCGAAAGAACCAAAGAAGATGAATCCTTGCAGTCACGAAAGCTTTAAATCGAAATTTAACGTTAAATAAATATCGACAACACGGTCTACTTAATTAGACTTTTTAAATAATTGCTTTCTCCTACATCAGAGCGCAGCGCCACATTAAATACGCACTACATTTTTTTTTTGGGGGGGGGGCAGAGCTTTGTGTCGTCATATTTGAGGGGGTGTCTGTCTTTTTGTGACGCCGTGTGACGAAGGGAGGGGGGGGTCAAAAATCGCGTGACGTCATTTATAGACGGCCCCTTAACTGGTAAAATAAAATAGTTTAGTTAGTCTGCATTAACCACAAGCACTTGTGGCAAAATATTCTAATAATTTCTGCATTGTCTTTGAAACTGACTACATTATCAGAGCATGTCTGTTTGCATGTTTTGCCACAAGTACTTGTGGTTAATGCAGACCTGATGTCTTGCAAAAGGGAACTTTTGGTGTTTGAACATCTTAACTGCTTTATTGCCAGAAAGGGTAAAGCCTATTCTTATATTATTTTTAATCATTTTGCGACTGGAAAAAAGGTCCTGAAGTTATAGGAGCAGGGTTGTTAACCGGTAAGTACGAAACCGGTAGCCACTCACCGTTTCAAGTGAAATGTTAGCAATGTTGTGCACCCATTGGCGCCCGCGAACGGCGGCTGAAAGCCACTTTCCCTGGCTTCTCGGTTGTAGGCGCAGCTCTGCAGTTGCCTGCTCACGCCACTGCTGGCGGAAGGAGTCTCCACTGCAGGGAACTCCGAGAGAGTGTGTATTTGGTCTACTCTTCCACGTTGACAGACGGACAGGAGCGGCGTGAGGACCTACAATGTACCCGACCACAGGCGACCTGCCGATCAGAGACCATCTCTGGTGTACACATTTATTATACTATTAACTATTGGGTCAACAAAAGCGAGGGGCAGATTTGAGAGAGAAGAAAATGTACACTGTTTCAACTTCCCCGCTGGGAGATGGAATAGCGAGCCGGTGACCTTTGGATGGCAAGTCGAGTGTGCTTGCGAACCCATTCATAAGACCAAGGTGGCAGCTCCCTCAGTGCAGAGTAAGGCATGGCATTTGTTGGAATAATATAGCAGATCAATATAATACAGTACTGTACGTTAAAGATGGCCAATTCCACGCCTGCTAGGCAGTGGCAACATGGCGATTGGGAGAATGAGTTCTGGTAACATGGGACTAGATTCGTGGACATTGTGTAGGGCCTGACTGAAAAATACTGTCGCCAACTTTCACCTTGCACATCTGTGATGGCTCATATGTCATCATCAGCCATGGTTTATTCACTGCTGGATGAAAGCCTTCCCACATAGTCACCATCTGATGGTGCAGCAATCCATGAAGCTCCTGCACAAGTTCATCTCATCGCTCCATTCTCCACGGTGGTCATCCTTCCGGATGCTTTGGCTGCCACTCCATGTTGAACTTCTTTCACACCGTACGTAGCCAACCATGCTAATCTGAGGTGACAGTCTTGACCATGGCCAGATATTCCAAATACAATACACCGTATACGAAACTATTGTTATAATTCCTTTAAGTTATACATTATGCCCAAGCCCACTGTTCTTAGGACAATGTTTCCAATTTGTGTTCCCCATGCCTTTGTAATTCCAAACAATAATCTAACCATACTGCTTTATAAACGTTCAAGCTTTACTTCCATTTTCATCGTCCGTGGTCATGTTTCCAACCCATGACATTATTCGTAATATGCACTGATTTAAACTTTAGACGTGTTTATTCACTGTTGTTCGTTTGTGTAAACTGGGCATTTCTACAGCCCAAACAATTCTTGGCTCATCACACTTTTTAATTGTTTAGTCACAACTTTTGAAAGCTATCTAAAGGTCAGTTGTGATATTTCCTTAAAGGAATGACTAATGCTACTGTTCAAATAGTCTCATCAAGAAAACTACTGCATTCATCATTTCACATTAAAACATGCCATATCAGCACGTAAATGACATTTGTATATTCATGTAACAAATTATTTCACGTCATCTTCATACCAGTGTGCCTTGAAAATATTTCAATGCTTCACGATATCAATATATTTTACTCTTACGTACGTAGCCAACCGTGCTAATCGAAGGTGCGGGTGCATCACTAACAAGCAGCATATTGTACAGGAATCTATATGAGCAGAAAATACCGTTCTGAAAAACCTACATGAACTGCAATTGGATGTTAAATAAAATTTATGCTGTCTTCTGCCAACGATTCGTATAAGTTTTTACAAATGCAAAAACCTCGTTCCATCACTTCAATGGACAGAATTTGTCCTAAGAACGTCTTGGCAATAGATTTGGCCGTAATGTGGCTTTGAGGCGTTCAATGTTGTCACTCTTACTCTTTGTTTTTTTCGGTAAAGTCACGTAGGTAAAATAAAATAAAACTAAATTAAATCACGACGTTTCGGAGGCAACACAAGCTTCCGTCTTCAGGTGGAACAGACACAACAAAGTTCACTGTATCAAGTGATACAGGGAACTTTGTGTTGCCTCCGAAACGTCGTGATTTTATTTAGTTGTTTTCTTTTATTTTATTTTACCTACGTGACTTTACCGAAAAAACCAAAGAGTATGAATCCTTGCAGTCACGAAAGCTTAAAATCTAGAAGTTGTCACTCTTGTATACATTTACCATTAAACATATACATAACTCATTTTAACTGTAACGCAATGTGGATTTGTAGAGTGTCCAAGATCAAAGTAAAGATGTCATCACGGCAAATGTGACTGACTCGACCACACGTCGCCATCGCTTGATTCGGTTGGTTCCTGTAGCTGGTTACAAAGTCAACCGGCAACCTGCCAAGATCTTCTCTCAAAATATCCCGTAATTTTTATTTTATTTGTTTTGCTTTTTGTCACTTTGGTCACTCTTGCAAATTAGACGATCCTTGTCTCTGAGTTTTTCACCTGGTTAAACAAAATAAGCTTAAAACTTGAAAGTGAATGCAGGTATATTCTTTGGGTCTTTCGGTAAAGTCACGTAGATAGGTTCAAAGAAAAACCTATCTCCGTGACTTTACCGAAAGACCCAAAGAATATGAATTCCTGCAGTCAAGAAAGCTTTAAGTCAAGATTTGAATGCAGGTAATAAGACAACCATGTACTTGCACTCTTCTGTTGCTACTTAAGTCACACTACAATAACAGTTTCAAAATATATTTATCAATTATTTTATTTGTACTATATAAATTTTACATTTCAAATAAAATTTCCCATCGGGTAGTACCAAGTGATATATACGGGGCTTGATGACAATCAACAGTGTTAATGCTCCTTGTAACGAATGTGTCACGTTTTAACACAGGATGGTGAAGACATGCCAACCGGACTTATCTAACAATAATTCTAAGCATCCTATGCTTCCCATTATAACGGACATGTGGAAGTCCCCATGCTGTTCGACACATTATACGTCATGTGTGATATATCCTGCAACACAATTACCTGGCTACGTTAAAGCACACGTACGTTCAACAGCATTTCACCCACGTTTGTTTTCTCTGCTTTTATATCAAAGTCTGTCCATATTGCATTGCGTGAATCATATGCAGAAAGCAATGGGGCACAATAAAGCTTCTGCCAATCCTACTACCTTATATGCGTGTTGTTGAAGTCTGACGATGACTGGAAGAATTGCGGTCACATTTATAGGATTAGTGGACCAAATTGATGCAGGTAAGGGTTCTACAATACTACGTTTTTCATCATATACTGCATGTAGCTTGTATATATTTTGTAACACCAGTGACGAAAAGCTTACGGACGTGCAATTTATTTCAAAGGTTTCCCACAAACTTGTATTTATTTGCTATTTCAGGAAATCACTATCTAATTCATTTAAATGTATGTCATTTGCTGTTGCTTCTAAACAACTGATGCATTTCACCAGAATCACTCTCGCACCAGCTCTGCTCAAACACTAATCCCAAGTAACAAAGTACAGGATGTGCTATCAGTCACGAAGAACGGAAAGACTCTTCTCATGTCCCCGACCACTTTTATCCTGGGATAACGCATTTCTGCGAAACTATGCATGGTTGTGGTCAGAATATAGATAAATATACCAAATTAGAAAAAAAAATGTCCAATGTTTTTCGTAGTTTGACGATGTACTGATAATAACCCAAACCAGTGCAGGTGGCAAGTGAAGCAGTGATGTCATTGTGCAGCCTCCATAGTGCTGGCTATTTTGTTGCAAGTAAAGAAAGCAATGTGGCCACACCACCTTTACAGATACAGGAATGCTTGCAATGTTAGGGAGACACACCAGACCAGTGTGAATCCTATGATATAACGTCATTTCCATAAGAGTACACACCAGTATTACTGTCATGATGACATCAAACTTAAAAATGAAACCATCGTTACTATGGTTAGGGTCATCGTTGCAAACGAAATCATTTGGCTGAATCCAATAACAGCCGTATACATAGATGTATCTCCTAACAATTTGTTTACAAAATATTAACTTTAAAATGGGTGTATAACAATCAGCGTATTGTACAGGAATCTATATGAGCAGCAAATGCTGATTTGGGCACAAGAAAACCGTTTTGAGAAACCTACGCGAGCTACAACTGGATCTAAAATAAATTATTTTCCGAAACATTTTCAACCAAAATTAGCAGGTAGGCCTATTTTGAGTAAAGTAATCCATATTCACGTAGCGGAACATTATTTAAGGGGCTTGCAGCCTGAAACATTAGTTTGAAATTTACTTGTGAGCTCAAACGAGAAAGGTGTGGCTGAGTACCTGCATTAATATTTGTTTTATTTAGTACGCATGAAAAAAACGACCACAAATTTATACGAATGTCAATTAGGTTTGCTTAAGCATGTTATATTTTTGATCATAAGGAAACAAGTAAAAAAACAGACATTATATTTCATTGTGCACAGCCCATCTCATGTATTATTTTGCAAATAAGCATGCAAACATTGTACAAGAGAAAAGCCAAGGCCTAGTCACCATCCTAAAAGGGGTTTAGAATTCAAAGAATGCAAGTTGCTAATTTGTTTTGAACTGAAAATGTCCATTTACAGTTTCTCAAATTGACTACCACAATTGAGTTTGCATGAACAGGGACATCCTGCCCAGAATCTCACAACAGAATCCACTGTTGGTCAGTATCTCACAAACAACATCATGCTGTATTTCAGATCCCACAGCCCAATCGAATAGTCTGGGACCTGTCAGTAAATTGATGAGCTTTGGTTGACCCTTAACCAGAGCTAAGGCTAAAGTCATAGTTGGTGAGAATGCTCATTCCAAATTTTAACATCCTCTTGTCTTTAAGAATTAGCATTGAAACCATAATTCCTGGTTTCGTCCAATACCTTTGAGATCCTTTAATTATACACCATATATAATTGACAAAATAAAGCTGATTTCTTAAAAAATGCAACAATCATAATTTTTTGACCTAATGGTTCCTTATGCGCAAAGGGCCAGATGCACACCTTGACAAAATGGCTAGATCCACATCAACGTGGCAGTTCGCGCCACTGCCGGTAAAGGAGACATTGGCACTTTTTCGCCAAAAATTGGATGACTTTTCTTTTTCCCCCAACACGTGAATCATGTCCAGTGTTATCGTCTGATATTAACAATTTAAATCATATGCAACAAGCTATTATACAAGCTGTATAACTGTATTCATCCCTCTTTCTAAGTTGGCCAACTTTTCTAGCACTGACTATTTCTACTTAGCTTCCGTAACATTTATGTTTCTCACGTATTAAATTACAACCTATACTATTCATATTACTTCCCACTTCGATTGCATATTCACGTTAAGTGGAATGCACATTTATGCAATGATGTGAAAATACAATATCTTCCAGGATATATCCATTTAATAATATATATTTTTAACAGTTAAACTTGAAAAATCACCATGGTTGTAAAGAAATAAACTTAGATCCTATCTCCGCAAAACAAAGTTTGCCGAATATAAATTTGTTTACGTAAAATAATAACGTAAAATGTTTAATTGCAAACAAATCCTTTCACCAAGATGGGAAACTTAACCCTTTAGTTTAAAACAGCAAGTGAGAGGAAATTGCAGTTAAGAACTTTATACTTTATGCTGGAAACAGCCACTGCAATAAAAAAAAACACAAGCAGGCACTTCTTCCATAATTTGTTTTCGTAAAAGAAAATTGTAACTTGATATTCATGAAAGAATTACAGCCACAAATTTGAGTGGGAAACATTAACATTATTCAAGGAAAAAAAATATATACATTTAACTTAGGATTAAAGAAAACGGACAATGATATTGTTCCAGAACAAAAAATACAATGTATATGACAATCATAGTATGATAATTACAGTACTACAATACCCACAACTGCTGTTATTTTAAAAGCAGTCACCTAGCTTGTATTCGTGCTGTCATAATTGGAGATAATTTGGCTGAAATATCGTTCGTATTGTACCCTGCCAATGATATTTTGCAACTTATATTTTAGTTGTGACTTGGCCAGCTCATTAGAACAAAAACACAAAGCATTTTCTCGTACCAAATCAACCCCCATGCATTACGATTGGAAAGTCAAACCTGTGTTAAAGTTAAGGAGCGTGAGGCAAAGTTTGATGACAAATACAAGGTTACAGTAAACATCAGAAGCATAGAGTTTGTGTTAAGAGACTGCTGAGTGTTAGGAACAGGTTGAGTGCGGTGACCCATTGGTAGTGGTGGATGGAAGCAAGTGTGCAGGATGTTTAGAGCGCGGTGCTGGTGAGGACGAGTTTTGATGTGATGGCCGCCACTTCCCGTGGGACTCGTGCAGGGAGAGGATCCACATCAAATGAATCGATCAGCCCTAAAAAAATCGCAAACCCAAGAACGTTAACTCATGCTTCAAAATTTTAACACTGTCATCATGTACTCAAAGTCACAAAGTAAAATTATCTTCCTGCTCGAGTGTATGTATGTTGAACTTCTTTTGCACCCAACGTAGCCAACCGTGCTATATGAATGAGCATGGGAGCTGTGCTCATCTGCTTTGGCGGTCCTCGGCCAGTGGTGGAAATTTTACATTTGTATGGCGAGGACCCATCTCTTCATAGTGCAACCACTGCTGGCACTCAATTAATAAAGCCATAGAAAAGATCGGCTAAGTTACCCCGATCTCACAACCATCCACTTATAATGCATTCCTCTAACAACTGTAGAGTATAATCTTATACAAGGTGTATTCCACAAACTGAAATATAAGCATGTTCTATTTTTAAAAAGGGTGCTTTTGGAAAACCTTATGTTCAATTTGTTAGGAGCATACCATAGCTGTGTATATTTATCATCCAAATAATGCAAACATTAACATTAACTGGGAATTGTATTTCATCGTACAGGTTAAGTGGTGTTGAGGTGAATGCCGCATGCACTCACCCTCTAAAATGCGATGGTAGGCAAAGTGCAGGTAAAGCAAAAAGAGCATGTGCAGCGCAGCGACGGTTCCACCCAGCACCAGCCTCTGCGTGTGGCCCACAGTACGTGAAACCAGCACGCAAACCTACACACACATCACCATGCAGCATTGTTGGGCAGAAACACACGCTCGGAATGAGATCATATATATTCCACATTACTATTAACGTCTTGGTCACTCGGAATTCCATAGTAGGCTTGTCACACGTTTTACTTTTTGTCTGACTATCTTTCACTTAAAGATGGAACCCTAAAAAATAAGGTTATTATTTGACTCCTGAATGGAGAAGCCCAGGACACACAGCCCAGGCATGCATCTACCAATACGTAATTATGTGTCAGATTGCATCTTCCTAGGTAGCAGAAGTCAGTGCAGTGCCCTGCTATCAGCAACTCGCACTGGACAGTGTGGTGAAATATGCTCAATGTGTGGGGAGGCCCTTGTCCAGCAGTGGATTGACAAAAGGGTCGTAAATAACTAAATTTTTATTTTACCAGGTTAGGCCTCGCGTTTTATGCACGTTTACATAACACAATGTTGAAAGAGCGCATTAGATTATTTTACACTTATTTTTGTTATGCGTGTATTGTTATTGACTACAAGCGATCCAGCGCATTGGCCATAGTGTATGAAACGCTCCGCGAGCTAATCGTTAGTCAAGCAGTAAAGTTCAGTAGCGATGCTGCCTGAGGTGCAGTACGACAACCACAAGAGTGGACAGCATCAGCATCTTCTTCTCGCGCACCATTTTGAAGATCTTGTCCGCGTGAACTTTGTGTTGTTTAAATTGTTTAATTTACGCGATTTTGAGTTACGTGCAGTTTTTAAAGAACACCACCCCCACGTAAAACGAGAGGTAACTGTATAGATCTTTTCCAGAAACGACCTAGCCACCAATGATAGCTCAACAAAGTGGCTTAATGCAAGTGTAGTGACTGTGATTGTGACTGTGGTGCCGGGCTTACGAAGCCACGGCGCATAATGTGTTGTCATTATGGGCAGCCCGGTTATCAGGTGTAGTACCAGCCCTAGCAGGGCTTGGGTGAGCGCTGGTCAGCACGGAGGCACCGCGAGCAGTGTGCGGTGCGGGCTCCCGGTGAGGGAGCGAGAGGGAGCGTCAGCCAGCCAGGGTTACGTTGGGGCATAATACGCTGGTTGACCTGCTGACACGTGACCGGATGATATTGTGGAGAAGATCCACATCGGGGAGAAGAAGCCTCTAGCCACGCGGTCCGGGACCCAGCTTGTGGTCCAGGCCGGGATAGCGAACAGTGTCTAGTTCTGCCGTAGCGTGGTTAGATGGGCATTCGAGACCCGAGTGTAGATTGTGTAATGTTGTGTTCAGTTGCAGAATAAATAGTGTTGCTCCCAAGAAAACGTCTGCGACTCAGTTGGACTCACTAAAACTGGTGTCGGAAGTGGCCAACTTGCGAGGCTGTAGCTAGCGGTAGACCAGTCATGTCTACACGTCGCAGAGTTCGTGTACGTGCGTCGGACGACGAAGACAACGAGGAGCTGATTCCGCCCACGGCCGTCGAGGAAGGAGCGGAGACGCTGCCCGCGGAGCAGGGCGCAGCAACGATTGGGTGGCATTTAAGCGGCGATTTCTCACTAATGCTGATGTGGCGGGATGGTCGGAGGCGGACGTGCTGAAGGCGCTGCCAACCGCCCTTGACGATGATGCTTTGGCGGCGTTCCTCGCCATCCCACTGTCCGAGAGGTCCACCCTCACGCAGGTGTTTGACCAGGTGGCCACCGTTTTCGAGCCTCCGCTGAACACCCGTCAGAAGTTCGCCGTGAGGCAGAGAGGGGATGGTGAGTCGGCCCTCGCCTACAGGAGTGCGCTTTTGGTGCTGGCGAAGGCCACGTTCCCGAAAATGGATCACGATGGCCTTGACGCCTTGGTCCTCGAGAAGATGTTGGGACTCGCCAAGGATCTCCGTACTCTGCTTCCGGCCGAGGACAGGGAGGTGTCTTCGCTCAAGATCGCCGGTGCATACAGGTGCAGCAGACCCTGCAACGTGAGAGGGTGTTGGTGATGTGCTTCGCGTCTCCCGCGGAGACCGAGGCTCACGCAGACAAAGAGCCTGGTCCCACGTGCTCGCTGCATCAGCGGAGCGCCGATCGTCGCGGTGATGGAGATCGGCGGAGGGACGACCGGTGGCGCGCGAGGTCTGCTTCATCCCAATCCAGCGGCGGACGGGTCACCTGTTACAACTGCGGCCAACCGGGGAACGTCCAGTCTGGTTGACGGGTTCCTCGATGGCGGGCCCCGGGACGTCCGCCTTCCTACGACTCCCTGCCATCTAAGGCGCCGCGCGACTGATGCCTCGCACACGGCCACTCGTGTCGGCCTCGCGTGCTCGGGATGCTAAGGACGCGACGACCCAGCCTACTGCTCTTCGTGAGGAGCCGGCTTCGTCGGGTCGATTTCTTGCCCCCCCGGCCCTCCCAGGGTGGTCGAGCCCAACCCATCTGGAGGACCGGCGTCACAGACTCGTTCAAAGACTCGATTTGCGTGATCCCCGCGCATTGCACACTCCCACACCATCATGGGCTGTCGCGCTCGTGTGAGTCGTGGCGAGTATTTGGCTGATCCTGCTCGCCATCGAGCTCACGGGCGTTGTTACACTTTGTGGGTGGGAGATGTTGATTGTAGGGATCTTGTGCGGCGCGATCATTGGTTCGTTCATTCATTTTTTTCTTCGGGGGGGATATATATTGTACAGTTGGCTTGGGTAATTTTTATCGCGTTATGTTGTTGGAGCACATTTGTTATGTTCTGTATGATTATACATCGGTTGCTGACTTGGGGGGCGGGAGTTGGCAGCCGGAGGGGGAGGTGATGTAGTGACTGTGATTGTCACTGTGTGGTGCCAGGCTTATGAAGCCACGGCGGATATTGTGTTGTCATTATGGGCAGCTCGGTTACGGGGTGTAGTACCAGCCCTAGCGGGGCTTGGGTGAGCGCTTGTCAGCGTGGAGGCACCGCGAGCGGGCTCCCGATGAGGGCGCGAGAGGGAGCGTCAGCCAGCCAAGGTTATGTTGGGGCATGATACGCTGGTTTACCTGCTGACACGTGACCGGAATGATATTGGAGGGGGGCCACCGGTGGACGGGGGCCGCTGGGCGGTCACGTGGTCTAAAAGAGCTCTCGGGAACCTTCGAGAAAGAGCTCGAGAGATCTGGAAGGTGGGTTGGGCGAAGGGCGGAGCCAACCCCAGCCCAGGGGCATATAACGGGGGCCCCGTGAGGGGCTCGAGGTTCTTCATGTGCTGGTGTGAAGAAGATCCACGTCGGGGAGAAGAAGCCTCTAGCCACACATTCCGGGACCCAGCTTGTGGTCCGGGCTGGGATAGCGAACCGTGTCTAGTTCTGCCGTAGCGTGGTTAGATGGGCATTCGAGACCCGAGTGTAAATTGTGTAATGTTGTGTTCAGTTGCGGAATAAAGTGTTGCTCCCAAGAAAACATCTGCGACTCAGTTGGACTCACTACACATTGAAATTAAACGCAGCAAAATACTCTAAAAGCATGTTTCTAAATATGGAGGGAAAATCGGACCCGGAGAAAAATCCATGCGATCACGGGGACAAAATGCAAACTCCAAATACACAGGTGTAAGGGTCGAAATCAAACCCACGACCTCATGTACACTAGGTTAGGTTGTAACATCTTGCCACCACGGCACTATATGTACATGTTTACATGCAGTAGTTGTTTTACATGGCGAGAGTGTTGTAACATGACTAGATTTGCAGAATGTGCTCGAAAAGTCATTCAGCACAGAGTAACCATCGCAGACACTTATGGTACGATATAAAGCAAAAACGTGCACATTTTTACACATACCAGTCGCAAAGTTGAGAGTCCACCGATGATAATCCACAGGAGATAGAACAGAGAGTGCAGGTGCACATTGTATGTCACGAACAACACGATGCAGGGGCCAAACAGACCATAGCCCTGCAACACAACAGTCGCCCAACAGGAAGCATTAACAGCGATGTGTACAGGACACTGCTTTGTAAATGACTAAGTAAAGTTAACCAGGGTGAAAAGTGTTGTGGTGCAAATGAAAGGGAACGAACCAGCAGAGACAGCAATTGCACCATTGTGATCTGGGCGTTGCACACGTAGGCCATGAAGTAGAGCAGAGACGACACGCCTCCCCAGTACCCAAAACATGTGCCAATGGCCGTGCCCATGAGGGTTCCCTCTCTCTGCAAAGGGAAACCGGAAGGAAACAGGCACTTTTATATGTGGACAGTAATAAACACCACCCACAACCCTTTCTAGTGAGATTGTCACATACTTTTATTCAGTGATTGTGGCATAATCACATTTTAACACTTTAACTATTTGCTTACTCTGTATATGGGTGGTTTACTCTGGCATACAGGAGGTGATGACAGATGAACCCCTGATATTGAGATACATTGTGGCTATCCTGTAGAGAACCCACTCCATGTAAATATGGCCCATGGGACTATAGGGCAAATCTTATTTTGTGCAAATTCTTATCCATGACCCCATTGTCCCACTGCCTTGCAGACAATTTTACTCTGTCATTTTTCATTACACTTTATGATTGTTTTACCAATTTATCATTTTTGTGAAAACCACCAATGTACATGCAACCTGACCGTCTTACGGTGATATAGAGGTGGCGGTGAACAAAACACAATTTGAGTCTCACTATGATAGTATCGGAGGTCTTCATGCCCTGAAGCAGGATGGCCACCATGGTGAATACAAGCATGAGTGGCCCATACAGCTCTCCTGCAATTTTCTGAAAAAAGAACAGTGTTAGGTGGCATAGCATATCCAAGGTAATTATTGCATTGTCACCAACTTGCATGAACCCCAACTCACCAGAATTCCATTTATGAATGGAAAAATATGCATATATTAACATACAATGCGGGTTAAAGCCTGTAATATTTTTTTCTTTTATATAGCTGCAAACACTGCTCTATTTGTGATATTCACCAAAAACGCCCACCATACAGTTGGCACTTAACACGGCAAAGCGGCAGGGTGGTGCAGTGATAAAACTGGTGCCCCACAGCAAGAACCTGGGTTTGAATCCTGACACAGATGCCTTTCAGTGTAAAGTTTTATAACGTAAATTTTGTATCGTAAAAAAACATCGTAAATTTCCCTTAAAAATATATATCCATTTTTAGATTAGTGCTCGATACAACCACATTTGCCAATGTGATTTGTAACTGTGGTCCTTACCCTTGTATCGAAAGTTCCATGTTAATGTGCAATTTCATTGAGGGACTGTGTTGTCTTGGAATGGTCTGGGTCTGTTGTTTTCCCACTTTGCCCAAGCTTGCATTTATTGTTGAAACACCGGCAGGAATTGACATACTTTTGCAATTTGTACTGATATACTTTATTCATTAATTAGTTTTAGTAACTTTCTTACCTTTCGTATACTTTACACTATCGGTTTCTTTTGATAAACCACTTTGTTAAGCTATCATATGTGGCCAGGTCGCTTCTGAAAAATAAGCTAATAGCTCAGTGGGCTTTACCTGACAAGATAAAAAGTTTAGATTTATTTGTATATTTGTTTAGGTGATTTGTTTACCTTCCCTATAATTGCACTCCAATCGAGTTTTTGTATTATTTGTTGTTGTATCGCTCTGACCTAACCCTATTGGAGATCTATGAAAAAGAGCTTTGTAGTTCATCGGATTCTAAATAAAGATTCTGAATATGAAAAAAAACGCACACCATATAATGAAAAAACACTTGTTGGGGCTTCTACCAAAAGATACAATAATTATGAGTTTGTCCTTTGTTGAACTTTATAAATTAAATTACATGATTCCACTACTCACACTGTAATCATTCACAATATCCAGTTGCATAACGCTGTCGCAGAGCGCTCAACCTACAACTGTAGATCATATCAGAGTTTAGTCTACTCAGCTTAGCATCCCTGCTGCAATTTGGGAAGTAAAAGTCTTGTTTCCATGGACATAATGGCCTATGATATAGGACCATGGATATATTAGTGATGTGGAATTATATCGAAGCATGGAATATGAAATGTACACCACTGGCTCACAACCACCAATGCAGATCAGCACTGCTGAACGCTTACTTGCACAATGAGACAATTTGAATTTTGCTGAAAATGTTTTCATATAATTGGATGGACAAGACTGGTGACAGAATGGTAGAAAAGAGGCATGTGCAAATTTGCATGACCACAACACTACTCCCTGTCCCTCTCTTATCCTGGTTCATTGCAGTGCTGTGACTCATGGAAAAGGTGCTATACCCAGGTGTGCTTTGAAAATGATATCTGGTCTCAATGAGCTCTTATGTGTTATTATTAAGCCTGTTTAAACAGGAAAGCCTCAGCGTGTCAATAAGTTTTTTTTCCAGAAGGGTCCTGCCAAGTTTTTTTGCAAAATTTTGCATTATTGCCCATGTGTAATCCAAAAATAGTTAATTTGCAGGTAATTTTCAATATTGAATATTTGGCTAATACATTTTACATTGTTTGTTTCTTTAGCCTACCTGGTTATAAAGGTCATAAATCTATCTTTTTTTTAATAACATGGCTGTGCAGACTAACCTGAGGAAACTTTACAATTCGAACAGGAACCAGTGACTCCAGCAACCTGCAATAAATATGCAACACATTAACACCTACAAACACAGAACATAAAAAACTAGGGATGTAATCATTTACCCCCTCCAAGATGTCATGACCTGTTTTTGCCTGAGATCATGATCAAAAGTGTTGTGCGCTTGTGATACATGCAGAACCTATAGCAGTTCATACACATATGCACTACTATAGGCATTTGGCTAACCATCGAACAAAGACGGTCACTGCATCGCACGCTATCAGATGTGCTTCTGCGGCCGTTCGGAACAAACTTCCTTCTGATATTAGGAAGCCACTGGAACTGTGCACTTTTAAATCTAAATTGAAATCTAATTTCTTTAGAACTGCTTTTCGTGTTCAGTTTGTTGTCCTTCCTCCGCACCTCCAATTAGCATGGTTGGATACGTACGGTGCGAAATAAGTTCAACATGCATGCATACATAAAATTCTAAATAATCTATTTTCACATGCAGGATTCTATATATTACACAAGCAAAATATTTTTTTTAATTAATGATTAATTGCATTCATTCTAGATTTGAAGCTTTCGTGACTGCAATGATTCATACTCTTTGGTTTTTTCGGTAAAGTCACGTAGGTAAAACAAATTTTCATCCTCATGAAAAACATGAATGTGACTATATCCCTTCAAACAGGCTTTTAAATGTTGTCACACTGTGACCAAGCATGGAATAGTCACAGTCAAGTGGTACAAGGAATACCCAGTGCTAAGAATAAATAGAATACCAGCCATGTCAGCCAACCCTGGGCTTGTCTCAGCCTTACCTCTGCTGCATGTTTGCACAAGAGATACATGGGGTGTGCTAAAAATCACACAAGGTTCACTGTACTTAAGCCTGGAGGCAGTTTTTAGTGCTCACCATATCTCTTTCATGAAGATTTGTTTAGAGATATTGTGTAAAGTAGTATTAGTTAGCCTACTCATGTTTGATTAAATTATTTTAAATGAAGGGATACCCTGCATTTATACCTGTGCTTTGACAAATACGATGCAGTATGGACCTGACACCCACAATAATGGCTTCAAGCCACAAAGCAGAAACCTAACTGCTGCCAGAATACTTCAAACACAATATTTTTTGTTGATAGCCCTATTATACAACTCCACTGGGGTGCTTAGATAACAGCAATCCTGAACACGTGTAGTGACGTAAATGGTGTCACTAGGGTGTTCGTGCCAGCTACTGTTACAGGAGTGCAACTGGGCGTCTGGAGCCTCTCTCTAGCACCAGAGTAAGTACAGCATGTCAGCCAGCCCTAGGAAGCGTAGTCCTGGTGATGGCCTGAGAGAAGGCAACTGAGGACGTGGTAGCCTGAGTGAACCCGAGAGGCCACGTGATGCTCAGTCGAGAACCTTTGGGAAAGGTCTCGAAGGGGGCGTGGGCGAAGGCGGAGCGAGGCCACGCTCAGGAAAATAAAGGGGCAGTCCCGAGAGTGTTCTTGGCTCGTTGGTGGAAGCAACCCTCGGCGCGACGTCTCCTCGTCTCGTCACATCGTCCTTGGTCTTCGGTCGTCAGTCTTCGGTTATCGCGCTCGGCATCGTGGGTCAGGCAGACATTGCTGCCCTGACCTGGTTATCTAGTTACCCAGCCCGAGTTAGCTAACTGTGTTGTACGTCATGTGATCTTGTTGGGGTCTAGTTAGCTACGTTGTAAGCTGAGGGAGTTACCCTGTTAGGGTTGTAATAAACATAGTGCCTCCGAATTCAAGTGTGTGCCTCCGTGAACACCACTACACATGTGCATGTCAGATAAAATTAGTATTACTACATTTTCAAATGATCTATGTAATATTATAGTGCACTTGTGGAAAACATGTCATTTTCATGAAATCTGACATTCATTGCCATTTCACCACAGACAACGTTACATAGGTGCCATAGAAATTGTTATGCAGCTGCCTGCATCCTTGTAAAATGTTATCTTTCGTCTTCTTGTGTGCTTAATGCACATGACATAGTTTAGACAACCTCTTCACCTGAAACTCAAGCATGTTCTGTCCTCACTTGATACATTATCCACGGCTAGTTGAAGTGGTTGGCTGCGGTTTGCACTCGGCTTTTTTTTAATAACACATGGATGTCATATCAAGGTCTACCCTAACAGTACTACAACTCGCATTGTGAACATTATTTGTGTAATTATTGCAGAATTATTCTGCTGGGTGGTGGAGTGGTTACAGTGCTTGACTCACAAGTGGAACGTCAAAAGTTACAATCCTGGTCAGGGGTCAAATCAGCTCATCATCCTTATCTGGGGTCAATAAAATGAGTACTATATTACTTTTTGAGATGGCAATAGTAGTTGTTTATATAGATAGCCTCGCCACTGCCATAGGTGTGAGGAATGTTAACACCGGCTCTGATCTGACACTGAAGATGAGCATGTCACAGTGCTTGTTTGAGGGAGATACTGACTTTTGAAGTCAGTTCAGCGTTGTCGTTTTTGCAATCCTTTTGTAATATACCAAAAAGGAAAAACACCTTGTGGGGGTTGGCTACAGAGGCTGACAGGACTGCCAGCAGAAATCAACAGTAGGCCTTCTTATTCATATTCTTAGCTCTTTCGGTAAAGTCACGTTGAAGGGAAACAATAAAATAATAAAATATATATGAAACAATAAAAATTCTCACGACGTTTCGACCAAAACACAAATGGTCGTTATCAGGTGTGTCGGTTTGCATTAATTTATTTATTTTAAAACGGTGTATTTACTTATTTATAAAAAACGTCAGCGGTGTATTTACTTATTTATAAAAAACGTCAGCGCCACGCGCAGCGATTTGGCAGTTTGTTTAAAAGGACTAGTCCATCTATGTTCTGAAAAGAGGAGGGGGGAGACGAAAAATTAATGTATGCTGTCTGAAAGCCACTGTAAGCGTGAACAATCAATTAAGACCTGAAATGGTTTATCAAATCTTTCCAATGATTGCTAAGCCAGAATCCATCTTCTCGGTTTAAATTGTCTCTGTGCCTTCTTTTATTTTTAAGAAGTAGGCCTTCTTTTAAAAGCAGAAACAGAATGGCTGAGAATTGCAATTACAATTATTAAAAAGTACAGTAGTAGCTCGGTTAATGGTGACATCAGTTAAGTGTTTCGTCTACCACAGAAACCCATGGTTTCAGCTAACGTTAAAATGTATGACTAAGGGCATGTTACGTTATGCACGCGGGCACCAATTTCGGCCAATCTGAGCGCTCGTAAGTGGGCTGAGCCATGCCCTCAGCCCAACAGTGACACCCATTTATGAGCATTTAGAGCTCAACTGGTTTTGTTAATATTACATTTTCTCTTCTTTGGTTCTTTCGGTAAAGTCACGTAGAATGAGAATAAAATAATAAATTGATAAAATAAAATAACACAATAAAATTCTCACGACAATTCGACCACAACACAAGCGGCCTTCATCAGGTGAAGGGACGAGACTGTCTGGAGGACAGCGCTGGCAGTGGTGCACAAACACAAATAACTAAAAAAAAAATCACATTTATCAACAATGTTGCCTTAAAATGTATAATTAGCAACGTTTTGGGCAAGGGCCCTCCATTGCACATAAACAGAGACCAGAGAGATAGAGGTCCCATGGTATTTAGTGGAGTCTCCAACCCTTATTAACCTTTTCTTATATCGTGCTTGAGATCGATTTGTGAAACAAACTGTTTACTTCACGTGTTGATTATATTATTGGTGTGCAACCAACACACCTCGAAAGAGCATTATTTCAATTAAACCTTCAGCTGCATTCTGTCTGGTGTGGTAAAAAAGACATGTTTGCATTACCAGTAACTGAATGAAAAAAAGGAAAAATCTGGTTGCCAGTTTGTGGCACACATAGATGTGTAGAGCAATAAAAAAACATGTTTACTTTATTGAGACACAAAAACAGCTGTCGTGGTATAATGGTCAACACACTGGCCTTGCAATCCAGAGGTCTCTGGTTTGGTTCGATCTCTTGGCGCATAGTTGAATCAGTGGTTCTCAAGCAGGGGTACGCAGACCCCTGGGGGTACGTGGCAATATCCCAGGGGGTACGTGAGGTCATTTATGTGTGAAATTATACCATACATGAGGGCCAATGGCGAATGATCACGTGTGAATCTGCCAACATAAAATAACTACGATAACATTGTAATCCATATGGTAAGCTTGAACGATATAAAAGACCTTTCTAAACTCACTGATCATAAACACTGTGGTTTCCAAGAGTAACCAGTGAGCGTGAACAAATTACGTCATGCATGCATAGTGTCTGGTGAATTAGTTTTTATTCGCTAGCAGTTACAAGCTAGTTAGGATACCTCACAAAATCGACAATTGGTTAAAATGTTGATATTCATTCTTCATACATTTATTTCTCAGGACAATGTTTGGTCAGGCAAGGGGGTACTCGGTTGAAACAAACTTCAACAAGGGGTACAGTAGCCAAAAAAGGTTGAGAACCAATGGTTAAAACAATGAGGTAGGTTTCTTAAAATTCCCTCCACCTCTCTCCACCCACCAGTATAATGGGTGTTATACAGTTAATCGATTGACAGATTGCATGGTGGGGCAAAGTATAGGTATGCCCACCTCTTCCAGCACGTCTAGTCAGTATGGAAGAATAGAACAGATACCTTCTAGAACTCCTTCCATTGGAGGCGCTTCCACCAACAGTGGCATGAGCAAGCAGTTTCATGACTACACCTTTACTTTTTTATATTTTACCTTAAATGAGAAACAAATCTTATCATGCGGAGACCTATTCAGGCCTGTCGTAGGTATATGCATTTTAAGACTGCTGCCGGCTACCAATTAGTCACAGGCGCCGTACCAATTTTACGTTCATGTGTGAATATCGGTGCATTCATTCCAAACATTCCACAATAAATGGTTGTCAGTTCTTGACTTTTGGAACCAGTAATCGATAATACGAATGGTTCAGGTTTATCAATTCTCATTAAGCAATCCTAATACTAACCTGTTTCTGACTTGCATTGGTTCCACGTCGAAATAGGGCCGCAGGATGTCAATATTCGCGTACAGAGTGAAGGCTTTGGTTGCTTGCTGCTTGCCTGCTCTCCATACCTGTCATGCCAGCATATCCAAGATTTCAAATAAAGCAGGTAGAAGACACGCATCATTCCAACATGAAATAAAAGTGTCAAGGTGAATCAAGAGGAGGCGAGTCTAGAGGAAGCCAGGTACTGGAATTCAGAACGCTGAGCAGGCACCACCAAGATCCTTGGTTTCAATGGAGCCAGCTGCCTGTCATTTAACCTAGGTTTTCAAGTGCTGCAAGTTGATAATCAGCCCAGCAAATAACTGCACTAAAACAAAACATCACGTTAATATGGCTAGATTTATGTTTTTCTATATTTAATTTCTCAGAATTGAAAATATCAGTTTAACCAGAATAGGAGTATTCACATTTAGCCTGGCAACATATTTCCCTATTTCGTTGGAGCTAATTTTCTTATATTAAAATAATTATGTTTAAGCAGGAAAACTGAACCAATAAAAAAATTTCCTTAAAAAATGATTTCATTGAAGATATCTGGCCAATCCGTTTTATATTTCATGTGGGAGAAGACCAGAACGGGCAGATGAAAAACAAATTTCACTTGCACCTGCTCACAACCCACCCACGTTATCACACCTTAATAGCTACCCTGAAGTTTATATTACTGCACAAGTGTTCACCCTGTAACATACACCCGCATCTTTGTGTGACCCACGAACCCTATCTCCAATTTCCTGAATTGCAGGTGCATTTGGCAGTAAAATACGGTAGAACCGACAATGACATCAAACATTTTTGTTCTTTGGAAAATGTGTCCATGTAGGTTCAAGTATCCACATGCACACAAGCTTGGAAGAGGTCAAACGCGCGAGTGTAGACTTATTTGATTTCCATAATGTACCTGTATATAATGTGCATGTGTGTGGGGCACAGTGGTGTAGTGATCCAAGTTTAACTGAACATTAGTGACAAATATCTAAACCTCGCATGAATCTGCCATAGGTAGACTTGGTTTTAAAAAAATGCAATGTCAACACAAGCACTAGGAGAAATAAATACATGATGCTGGCCACATTAACAGGTGGTCACTAAGAGCACTTGCCCCATCAGTCAACGAGTCTAAAAGGTGAACTTTACAGACACGTAAAAATCCCAGTCCACTCGGCTTTGTCTTCTGACAAGCATGTGCCTGCCTATTTTTCGATCAGGTTCATATATCTAGCAGCATTCACGCCAAGGAAGTACAACTTGCCTGGTCGGCAACTTGCTTCCCAATTTGCCCCCGGAGACCCTTGACCCCCATGAAGTCGTTGTTTTCACTGCCTCCTTCCTCTTCCGCGTCCGCCAGCCGCTGCGTCAGCTCTCCCACGTCCTCAAAGCTCGAGCCTGATGTGTCGTCCATGTTCTCCATGTCAATCACAGCTGTGCCACCCCCAGCCACGCCAGGGCCACCCTGCTGTGGCACACATCACCATCATTCAGTACGGGCTACATACAAAGGGACCTATTTTGCCGTCTGCCCCCATTGTCTTCTGCCTATGGAGTGCCCATCTTCATGAGCCTGAAGGGTACAGGTTTGCAGTGGCTCTCAGAGAATCATAAGTCCACTGCTGAGAGCCTTGTGAACGGTGTTATGTTCTTTTAAATGTATTATAATGCAGTAACTGGGAGCTGTCTCTCAGAGAAACAATAGCTGAACGAACTTGAGCATGCATTGTTCTTCATTTAAAAACCACCACATGAGACACCCTCCTCAACTCATTCCCTTATCCCCTAAGTCCATCCCTAGACGGTACCTGTACATCATGTCAATGTACAATAGGTGCATAAGTTAACTCAGCGTAATAAACAAACTTTTATTTAAATCTTAAAAAAGTGTTTACACACTCCAGGTCTAGCTGATGTATATCTCTGTTGGTGGTTTTGAGGGCGTGATTTAAATTTCATGTTCCTATGGTGACCACCTTCACACAGTTTAAGTTTACCAAGTATCTTAATCCGAATCCCATAAGTATGTATGTTGAACTTTTTTCGCACTGGTACGTAGCCAACCGTACTAATTGGAGGTGCTAATCATAATAAGATATGAAAGCTCTCAACAATATAAACATGGACATCTATATCATCGCCTTTTGTATTCTTTAATTTAGTTGAAAATGTGGAATTGAAAGCAAACAAATGCCTACTCGTATTAATGACATCAGCCTCTTTAAAGCGCACTTAACAGCAGATGGAGAGGTTGCGTAATTCTGCGTGACTTTATCATGGAAGAGATACAGGAATCAAATAAAAAAAACCTCACTGAACTCAGTTTGGCAAGCATGCCAAACCCTGTGCAGAACAGCAAGCAACGAGTTTCTGCCTATGAAAACACTGCGACATGAACATATGTTAATCTCTTTAAAAACCTCAAAAGTACTATACACGATATGTAAAACATATCTTATACTGTACTACTCAGCCAGTGTGCAAGTGTTAATCTTATTATCGGTGCACACCGCTGTTCGCCTTTTGGCATCCTCTGGTCTAACACTGTTTGAGACTAGGCTATAAAGAAAGCTGTCTCTAGTGTGGACCAATCAGTTTCAAAGACAATGCATATACTACCAGAGCATGTTTTTGGTTTTCATGTTCACCACAAATGTGGTTAATGCAGACATGATTCCTTGCAAAAGGTTTCTGTTTGGTGTTTTAACATCTTAACACAAACTGTTGTATTGCCAGAAAGGGTAACACCTATTCTTATATGCATCTTATTTCAATGAACACGTAAGTTCCCTTTGAGAACAATCCATCTGCATCATGTTGTAGCAACAGCGCTCAACGCACAATCTCAAAGTCCAATCCTGGTTGAGGACAACTCAGCCCACAATCCATCTGGGGTCAATAATCTTTGTACCATATTATGAGACATCAAAAGTTGTTGTCCGATGAAGACTGACTACTACCACAGGAAAGTGGAATGTACGTCACTGCTTCATCTATGTGAACATAGATGAGTACCACCGAACGCATGCTTGAGCAAGATGTCACTTTGATGAGGATACTCCGAGGTCTCAGAGACGAGTACAGGGGGATCACTAGCTAACCCCGGGCAGACTATCCAGTTGATGGGGATGAGGCATTCACAACAAATGCAATGGTTTGTGGCAAATCAAATGGTGTTGTGAATCCATTGAATAAACACTAAAATGCATCATGCAAGTAGACTGTGATAAGAAGTTTTGACCAATGACGCACATCACGATAAATTGTATAAAATAGATATAGTGGAATCCCAGCAGTGACTTGGTAAGAAAAAATACAGAGATATAGAGGTCTTCCATATTACTGTGTCCCAATTGCAATTGATTAAATAAAGCAACCTTGGACTAGTGATGGCTTAACTGGGTGTATCATGACACAAGGAGTGGTTTTATAATCCTAAACTGGGTACCTTTAGGTTTTGAGCATGAACCTTCCACAATGTACTGCTCAAAGACAGCAGTTCACAGCACATTGTAGCAGCAGAAGCGTGCAGCTAATGCTAGGTTATCAGTGTCATAGTAACATTCCAGTTTGAACTAAATGTTTATCATGAGCTCACCTAATTTTCTTGCAATACTTTGTAAGAGGTTAATATTTAAGTAAGATATGTTCGTGATGAAGCACGAGTATAAGTCGAGGTAAAGAATGAGACCAAATTGTAAACTTTGTGTTTGGGGTTAAACTGTTTCCTCACTGTTTTATCCATGGTTAAGTCAGTGCCGCCTTCCGTTTAATTTATGAGTGCAGATATTTGTTTTCTCCTATCATGCTCACGGATGTGATGTTGCCTCTTTTTGTCTTAAGTCATGTTTTTACCAATCGGCTAATGTTGTGTGACTTGTTAGAACACGGTGTAACATAAACTAGCCTCAAGTCACACGAAATAAAAGGGATATCACCTGATGATAAGACTGAAACAATCATAGATTACACATTAACTACAGAATAGCATATCTGTCATGAAGACTGTGTAAAAGAGTAGATGTCAACTTTAATGTAAAAATGTGTTTGAGGTAGGGGTAATGCCCATGGTATTGTATGGTTCGGTGTTGGAATTTAACAAAGCAACTAGAAATTGTACTTTTGGCTTCTAAATACAAGTGCATGTGGTTGACGTGAGAAAAAATGGGAGGGTAGGCAACTTGTAACTTCATAATAGAGCATGGGATAGAGCATGGGATAGAGCATGGCTCTATTATGCTAATTGGAAGTGCGGGTAACTAGGAAAAGGATGTTGCAATGGGTTAGGCATGGGGACAGGATGAAGGAGGGTAGGTTACCAAGACAGGAATACGAGTGCCACTCAGCAGTTGGCGAACATGGGCAACATTCAAAGCCAGATGGTGGGATTCTGTAAAAGCAGACCTTGAAGGTCAGGTGTAGACTATCACACTACTGTACTGTATTTGATTAGAAGAAAGCAAGTGAGAGGTGATGGCATCACCAATATTGGACATGATGACCTCTTGACCTTGCCATGCTGTTGGCCCATGGTGCCTCCTTGACCATAGAAACATGCGTTGAGATTATTTAGATAATTTTTCTGCTAGAAATGTTCAAATGATAAGCTACTTTGTTGAGCAATCATTTGTAGCCAGGTCACTTCTGAATAATACATTAATACCCCAGTGGCCTTTGCCTGGTAGGATGGGGATTGTAAAGTTTTATTTGTAAATGCTTGGGTGATTCGTTTACATTTGTAGTGAGTCCAACTGAGTCGCAGACGTTGTTCTTCAGAGGCAACACATTTATTACACCAACACGTATATACAAAAGGGGTAACTGCCCCATTTACCAGATACAGCCTAGGGTGGTGACCACCCAGCTAACTACACTACCATACAAGAGTTATGGCTACGATGGACTGGACCCCCACTTGGGTCCCAGGCCACTTGTTGGTGCCTCTTCAAACGTACAGTGAGGGAAAAAAGTATTTGATGCCCTGCTGATTTTGTACGTTTGCCCACTGACAAAGAAATGATCAGTCTAAATTTTTAATGGTAGGTTTATTTGAACAGTGAGAAACAGAATAACAACAAATAAATCCAGAAAAACGCATGTCAAAAATGTTATAAATTGATTGCCATTTTAATGAGGGAAATAAGTAATTGACCCCTCTGCAAAACATGACTTAGTACTTGGTGGCAAAACCCTTGTTGGCAATCACAGAGGTCAGACGTTTCTTGTAGTTGGCCACCAGGTTTGCACACATCTCAGGAGGGATTTTGTCCCACTCCTCTTTGCAGATCTCCAAGTCATTAAGGTTTCGAGGCTGATGGTTGGCAACTCGAACCTTCAGCTCCCTCCACAGATTTTCTATGGGATTAAGGTTTGAAGACTGGCTAGGCCACTCCAGGACCTTAATGTGCTTCTTCTTGAGCCACTCCTTTGTTGCCTTGGCCGTGTGTTTTGGGTCATTGTCATGCTGGAATACCCATCCACGACCCATTTTCTAATGCCCTGGCTGAGCGAAGGAGGTTCTCACCCAAGATTTGACGGTACATGGCCCCGTCCATCGTCCCTTTGATGCGGTGAAGTTGTCCTGTCCCCTTAGCACAAAAAACCCCCAAAGCATGTTTCCACTTCCATGTTTGACGGTGGGGATGGTGTTCTTGGGGTCATAGGCAGCATTCCTCCTCCTCCAAACACGGCGAGTTGAGTTGATGCCAAAGAGCTCCATTTTGGTCTCATCTGACCACAACACTTTCAACCAGTTGTCCTCTGAATCATTCAGATGTTCATTGGTAAATTTCAGACGGGCATGTATATGTGCTTTCTTGAGCAGGGGGACCTTGCGGGCGCTGCAGGATTTCAGTCCTTCACGGCGTAGTGTTACCAATTGTTTTCTTGGTGACTATGGTCCCAGCTGCCTTGAGATCATTGACAAGATCCTCTCGTGTAGTTCTGGGCTGATTCCTCACCGTTCTCATGATCATTGCAACTCCACGAGGCGAGATCTTGCATGGAGCCCCAGGCCGAGAGAGATTGACAGTTTTTTTTGTGTTTCTTCAATTTGCGAATAATCGCACCAACTTTTGTCACCTTCTCACCAAGCTGCTTGGCAATGGTCTTGTAGCCCATTCCAGCCTTGTGTAGGTCTACAATCTCGTCCCTGAAATCCTTGGAGAGCTCTTTGGTCTTGGCCATGGTGGAGAGTTTGGAATCTGATTGATTGCTTCTGTGGACAGGTGTCTTTTATACAAGTAACAAGCTGAGATTAGGAGCACTCCCTTTAAGAGTGTGCTCCTAATCTCAGCTCGTTACCTGTATAAAAGACACCTGGGAGCCAGAAATCTGATTGAGAGGGAATCAAATACTTATTTCCCTCATTAAAATGCAAATCAATTCATAACATTTTTGACATGTTTTTCTGGATTTTTTTGCTATTCTGTCTCTCACTGTTCAAATAAACCTACCATTCAAATTATA